TTTCATATAATTAGCCAAAGCTCTTTGCACTCCACAATTCCTAGTCTGTGGTTTGGTAATCATCATTGCCATTTGGACTACTTGTGAGGGATCAAGAGTTGGCTCAAAGTGGTAGCTTGATTGGAAATCTTCAAAACACTTTCCCATTTAAGACAGTTCAGGAAAACCCTTTTTTATTTAAGGTAGCGCTCTCCTCTCCTCAATATCTGTACCTTTTCCTGTTCTTTCCCTTTATGGGAAAGGTTACTCCTGAGTTCTACTCCTGCACAAAACCTTTCTACCCCTCTTCATTATGCACCTTCTTTTTAGTTTAATGTCTGGTTTTCGTTGAAGTAACAACTGGAAGTGTTCAAAAAACGCGTGCATGTGGCGCTTCAGGACATGGTTTAGGGAACATGGTGGCGCTGGATTAATGGTTGGACTTGGTGATCTTGAAGGTCCTTTCCAACCTAGTGATTCTGTGATTCTGTGAACATATGTTAAAATCAAATCAGGTTTTCCTCATAAGCATAATATTTTCTAATATTCCCTCCTGTTATTTTGTTCTCAGACTGTGTAGCTAGTGACTCACACTTCTGTGTTCCAAATCTCTATTGAGACCAACATTTCTTGACGGAGATCTACAAGAGAGAATTGGTATATCTGTACAGAATTACCCAACATCATTCTGTCATATTCAGGAGAGTATTTAATAATGGTTTATTGAAGAATTTTGAAGGCTATGAGATCATACCTGCATGTATTATTTTCTTTCTTCAGTTTGTGCCTGAGTGACCAATGCATATCATGTTACATTGACTTGGTGGGAACTCGGAGCAGTGAGTTCTGAGAGTTCTTACACTGCGTTAATCTTACCCAGATTGCTTCTGCATTACAATAGGAAACTTAAATGGCATGATACCATACCCATGACGTTGTCTTTTCCACTCCTATGGTTTGTCCTGGTTAACAGGCACTAACAGTTTTTTTTTCTTTTGTACTTTCTTTCTGTCATTTTTGTTCGCATACCTTCTGTCCCAAGAAATCCTTATTAAAGTAAGATTTGTGTCTTGTGGGCTTACTCGACTGGTGAAAACATGAAGAAATAGCCTGCAAGAATAGCAGAAAAGGAATTGTAGAGCTTCCCACTGGTTTAAAAGTAGAGGCTGTGCTGAAACAAACAAGGACTTCAAAAGATCAAAACAGTTGCTGTTGATTTTGATTCATTTTGGTAGCTTTAAAAGATCAATGTTTGCATAACTTTTAAAATTTTGGTACATATTTGAAACTATATTTTTGATTACTTTAAGAAAAAATAAAGGACAATTATGCAGACAGTGCGAACAAGAAGTCTGATTTTTTTAATTTATTTTTTTTCCTCAGATACTCATTAAGTGTATCTTCTGGAGAATTTGGTGTTTTGCTCTAGGTTGTTTAAGCAGGCTATGTTGAAATCTTTTTGTAACATTGTCTTGTATAATAGCCTTGGTACCACTTTTTTCATACAGCTTAAATTCTTGAGCTGGTTATCATCGTCTTGTGTCTTCATTGGAACAGGTTAGTAAGGGAAGTCTTGTCATACTTTTCTGTTCTAAATATTGATCGTTGTCATGGGCTTGTCTGAATTACGTTCCCACATGTTTTTCATTCCTCCATTGGGTCTCACTCAAACGTGGTGCACTTTTGTCTTCAGTTTTCAAGGCCTGTTAGGCCCTATCTCTGCCTACTCTCTTTGAAATCTCTCCTTAAGGACTAACGTACTAACTGACTTCTTAAGAGTGTTATTTTTCATTAGCTCCCTATTGAATTGTCCAAGACAGTCTTAGCTATGAACTGTCATTTATTTTCTGGTTCTTTTTTTTTTATTTCTTCTTTTCTTTGTTTCACAGTAAAACAAGCAAAAACAAAATCCCGCCCCCCCCCAACCAAAAAACAAACCAAAAGGAAAAATAGCTTCTCAAAACAGGGAAGGGAGAGGAAAAAAAAACGTTACGTTCGCTATCTACCATGATGACTAGTATATCTTGCCATTTCCTTACAAGCCTCATTAGCATCTCTGTGCTTTGCAGTTTCAGTTACAGATGGTTAGCATTTTGGTTTTGGGACTGTATGGCCCTGGCTTTCTGCTAGGGCTGTTACAGAAATCCTTTTCTACAAAATCATTAAGGCATTTTTTCCAAAGTAGTATTAGAGTATTTTCGTTCAAAGTGTTCGACTCATTTCTGTATCGTAACAGAAGGGCTTCATTAAAATGTGGAAGTGGGTTGGTTGTAGCCATGGAGAAATAGGTTGTTAGGCATTCCTTAGCTGATGGGTGTAAATGATCAGGAATTGTCAACCTACTGGTGCAGTCATCTGAAGGGTCTAAAAAAAGTTATAAGCAGACGAAAGCTTGTAATGAATGGGAGCAAAGGAAGGTGTCATGTGAAAATAGCTTTCACATGGTTAATGCTTTAAAGAAAGAAAAAAGTTACTAGGACAGGGGAAGCAATTGAATCCTGAGTGGTTTATATGATAGAGGCTGGTAATACCATGAGCATATATATGTATATAAGCAAGCTTTGTTGTCTCCTTTTACTGCAAGACCTTGAAATTACTTTTTATTGCTGATTTAGTTAATACCGTAACAAGTTTTGTTGGTATTGTCGTCAGCTCAATGGAAGAACTTTTTATTTAAATGTAAGTGCATCTAAGAGCAGAAAGGATTCTGAAAGGACAATTTTGTCTCATCAGAATTAAATTGTAAGTGAAGACATAAAAGCTACCTTATTTTTGTCTGCTTTTTAAATTTTATTTAAAAATTAAAATTTAAAATTTAAAAATTTTAAAAAAAATTTAAAAATTTAGATTTTATTTAAAAAGCTAACTTATTTTATTTTTACGTTGCTGAAGTATCTGAAACTCTCCCTTAACATTCATACAAGATAAATTTTGCCTAATTCTATAGGAAGTAAAAATAATTTCTATGAATACTTTCAATTTAAGAAAAAGGTCAAAACCAGATATATAACCTTAGCATCATTGAGCTGTTCTGATGCTATCTACTAGAAATTCATCCTGTTGATACCAGTTAAGTCATGAATGCTGCTTGGTGGAGGAATATAGCTTAAGTCAGAGAATCAGTCAGGTAAGTGGAAGAAGTTTTCATATCTGAATGAATATTAGAGAGCTCTTCAAGTCTTAATTTTTTTTTTCATTTCATGAAAGCTGGGTATTTCTTTGTAATTTCTACCTTAGTTTGGTTAGTTTTTGTGGTGTTTCACATAGGAGACTCCACCAGTATAAGAGCAAAACTATGGCATTTGTACTCTACCAGCCTAAATAATACTCAAAACTTTCAGAAATCCTAAGTGTCCTTGCAGAGAGTATCATTTTATCTTGGTGCGTAACTGATCTTACAATTGGTAAATGCAGTGTGTATTCTCTTTCACTTTACTTGCTCTGTAGGTAGTTATCTCCCCTTTTTTTCTCTCTGTCTAGGTTAGAATAGTCAGATTTTATCCTGTTATATTGATTCTTTATTTGATATAGCTTCGTCTGTCCCAATTATCTGAAATTGTTTAAAAATATTAATGAACAAATTTCCAAAACACTGAGGAGGATAATGTCATCCAGAGAAGATCTGGGTTTTTAGATACATGCCTTAGAGAAAAACCTCCAACTCTTGTTGTAATGTGGTTTAAAAAGGTGAGCCTCATGGTTTTTCTCTTCGGTGTGGTTCTCCTGACAAATATGGAGATTAACAGAAACTCAGGAGGTTATATATACTGCAGATTTAGTGAGCAGTTTAACCCCATTTCCTGTGATGTACAATGGTAATGAATAAGACATCAGCTGGGTATGTTTGCTTAGTGATCAGCCGTTAACAGTTGGCAGCTAATGCTTTTGGTTGAGTTTAACAGTCAACATTCACTGAAGGGAATGATGCTTTTTACAGTAACTTCTTTGGTCTTATCTTAAAATCATGGACGTCTCTGCAAACAATTACCCTTTCTGTATTTGTGTGCTGGTCTGTGCCATGGGAGAAGGGTGTTCTGGGCAGGGGTCCTATAGCCATCTGTGTAAGGCCACTGGAACCTCCGGGTAAATACCAACTAAAATGATAGAAATTGAATAAAACTTGGGTGCATGAAATACAAGGTGTTGTATATAAGGGGTATAAATATGTAATATTATAAAATGGTAGTTCAGTTGAAAATGATCGCATAAAAATGCCAGTTGCTAGCAAGATGATTCAGCACACAACATTCTTCATCCACACCTATGTGTGTTTCTTTAAAATACCGTTTGTTGAAAATAATTCTGCAGACTATTCGCAAGGAAGTCAGAGGTAGGGGAATTTGAGGCTGAAGGAATGTTTGGAGAGAAGGGGATGAGAGAAGAGGGGTGGGGGTAGTGGGGTCCAACTCCCAGTGCGTTACCTACATGCGTTATACGTGGGCAGATCTGTACCATGACTGAATAATGGGCAGCTTTCTACTGGCAACCTGCACAGAAATGTGGTAGTTAGCATTTTAATGTGGCCATAAAAGAAATGAATAGAATTCCAGGATTAATTATGAGAAATAATGCCATTCAAAAAAGAAAAATACTTTACTTTTACAGGTCGTTGGTAAAACCTGATATATTGTTTCTAGTTTTGGTTATTTGTTTTCAAATTAGGCACTGAACTTGCAGGAGGTGAGTCACTTGGAGGTGATGTTTCATTCATCCAGGCCTTTTTATTAATTGTATATGTATTTATTGTTTACCGTAGTACCTCTTGTTCCTTCACTGCTTCTCTATTTCTGAAACTGTTTCCCAGTTCTGCAGGATTGTTATGTATTTGAAGTGCTTGAGTCAGTACAGTCATTCATTTTGTTGGTTTGATGTTAATTTTGATATCTTAAAAGTATGGCAAAATGCATTTTACTATATTTTTAATGTAAAAGTTTATAAAGTTTGTGTAGATAATTTTCTTGCAAAAAACTTTTTGACTTAATGAAAAATTGAACTTTTAATTTTTCCTTATGTTTGTGTAGGGGAAAATGCAGTGTTGCACTTCTGAATGAGACAGAGTCTGTGCTGTCGTATCTGGAGAAAGAGGTAATATGTGACTTCTATTTGGGTAAATATTGGGATGGCTTTATGTTTTTTTTTGTGGCAGTATTTTTGATAAATGGGCAAATAATACTTTGAAAGTCTCTTCTTGAATGGTAAGCTATAAAAATTGTGTTGTTAAAAGTGTTATTGGATAAGTACTTAATAGACATTCTTAAATGATGGTTTTATTATGAATGTTGTTGTATTTAGAAAATAATTAATTTGAAGTAATTCATATGGTATGTTACAAAAGAAAAATATACAGACTTTTTCCTCTAGTGGATACTTAAGGGAGAATTCATATGGCGTCTTCCCCCACCGCCCTTTAGTTTTTTTTTTTCTCCTAGAGGGTGTTCTAGAAAGAAGAATCTTCTGTAGTCAAGGGGCAGAGAGAGCAAGAGAGGCTCCTGTAGAGGGCAATTTAGCATAGGAGTTTAATTTTAAGGGCTCTGAATTACTGTATGGAAAGTGTTTCTTCACCTTTCATTTTCTGTGGAAGGAACTAGAGGGGAAGAAAACTCCCCAAGAATTCAAAATAACCCCAAGAATTTAAAAATAACCGTATTTTTCTTTGGAGCATATTAATATAACATTAGGCAGACTGTTTTTTTAGCTGAAATTAGCATGTGTTTATTTTTAAATTTCTACACCAAAACCATTGATAATGATCGGTAAAAACGTTCCTGAAAACAGGCCTTATTCTGTACTTCAGGTGACTGTACCAGATCTGCCAATACTATTTTTGTTTAAGCCCTCTTCAGACACTTGACCATGTTTTATGCTTTTTGAGACTGATTTATAGTGCAAAATGGTATAGTAGAGGTATTTAGAAGAGGAAACGTGTTACATTCCCAAAGCAGCTAACATGAATTTTTTTCAAATCCATTGATATATTTTTGTGTATGAATCTTTTCATTATTGCCCTGTTCTGAAATAACTCCTAGCAATGAGAGAAGCTTCAATTAGCCATTTAAAAGTACTCATGAAACATCTGCATTATTTAAAGTAAGGATCAGCGTACCAAACCTGTGCTCTGTAAAAGTGTGTGAGGGGGGTTACTTCAATAATTTCCAAGTGGAATGTGATACAGTTTTACAAACTTAATTTTAAAAATCATTATGCTGTTGCAAACATGTGTTCTTTTTTAGGATACTTTTTTTTATTCATTGGTATATGATCCATCACTGAAAACACTTTTAGCAGACAAGGGAGAAATCAGAGTGGGTCCCAGATATCAAGCAGATGTGCCAGACATGCTTGGAGAAGGTAAATATATGATCTTTGATTAATAAAAAAAGAAAAAATCCTCATCATGCATTATTACTTATGCTGACTTTCTGAACTAAACTAATAAGCATAGAGGGAGGAAGTAAAATAGTAGGTCTTAGAAAATTGATGAATACCAGTAGATACAGGAAAGAAAGAAAGAAAGAAAGAAAGGATACTTGAATAGCTGTTGAAAAGACATTGTCTCTTTCAAAGTTGTACATAACACAATTTGGGTATTCAATATTTGTTTATTTATTTCTACCTTCCAGTTAGTGCTTTGATTTAGGCCTCATGGAAGGATGTTGAGGGCCAACCCATTTTGTAGAATAATAGCATGGTAACAAAATAAGTGAAAAATGTATTGTATTGTTTCTCTCCCTTTTAAAACAGGCCTGTATAGAGAATGTGTGTCTTCGTGTCATCTTATTTTAAAATACTGGCTTCTATCAAAGCATCTTGTCTGTTTTGTAGCATGATTGAAACAAATGTTACAAGCCTTGGCATATCTCTAAAATCACTGGTATTTTTTTAATTGAATTGAATTGAATTTATTTATAATCTAGCACAATTACCTTTTGCTACATAGGAACTTTATTCTTTTAAACTAAATTTCAAGTATTTATTCAGTATTTATTTAGTGTTTGGATGTTATTTAAGATGTGTGAGCAGCTGTGTCTTGTTATATTTGCAATTGTATTTACTTAGCAAATTCTAAAATGATCTGGTTTTGTCAGTGAAATGTGCACTCTACATTGAGTGTTAACAAAAGAAAAAGTTTCCTGAGAAGTATCTGGACATAGATACTATTTTCAAGAATCTTGGTATTTATTCCTTAATCAGAAAAGATTTATGTGGCAGGGATATCACTTGAACTAAATTAAAGGAGTTCTGAATGCCCCAAATATACATATTTGTAGTCTTAAATGGTGTGGTTTCCATTAATCATGGGCTTTTTTTTTCTGCTATGCTTTTTCTTTAGTACAAAACAAGTACTGTTTCTACAAAGCTTATTTACTAAACTGTATAAAACAAGAATGAATTTATTTCTGACAAGTGGCAGATTATTTTATGATGGATGCTGTTTAGTATCTCACCTGCATTATTACTCTGACTCTTCTTTTAATAACCAGAAATAAACTATAGGAAGTCTCCAGATTTGTTTATAAGGCATACAGGCTTGTTTGGGAACAAGTTTATGACTAGAATATGATATACTGCTATTCTCACTGTAAAATGCGGCTATCAGGGGGAAACAAATAATTAATGTAGACATTCATATGCTCAAGGGGAAAGCTTCCCAGAGGACTAAAAGAAAATGACTGTCTCAATGTGTGTATCAAGTAGCCAGGAAGTATTGATGTGCTTCTGAAGTAGCTGGTTGAATTACTGGGTTTTCAGATGAGCCGGGGTTGT